ACCGACGCCAGGATCCACGACTCCAACTCGCCCGATCCCATGGCGCACACCGACGCTTTGGTCGATGACTCCTTCTTGACTAAAAACACGCACACATGCCCACTGAAAAACCCCCCAGACGATTCTGCCTGAACCGCCCCGGGGCTTGGGGGCTACACCCGCGGGTGCGCTCGCGCGCACCAGCCGACAAAACGAAAACCTCCCCTGCTAGCAACACAAAAAAACCCAGACAATTCTACCTGAATCACCCAGGGGCTCGGGGGCTACACCCACGGGTGTGCTCGTGCACACCCGCCATCAAGACAAAAATCCCCCAAATGATTCTACCCGAATTGCCCAGGGGCTCGAGGGCTCTTGTCGGGTTCATTAACCCGAGGCCCCTACGGACCGGCTTCCCAACAAAGGCTCGACCCAAGCAGACAACGTGCAACTCATGGGCCAGCCCAAGTACCTAAATGATAGGCCAGAGGGGCGATCTAATCTTCGACCGGAAGGCCTAGCCGAGGAGGAATGGCACCCGCTTCTAACTCCATCCCGCCTCTCTAACCGGAGCGCTCGCTTCTATCTCTAGCCCGCCTTCGGATGGCCTCTCTGACCAAAAGGCCTGGCCAAACACCGCTTTCGACTCCAACCCGCGTCTCCAACCGAGAATGCATCAAATCCCTACTCACTGCTCTTCTCCGACTGGCGTGATTAACTCCCATACGGTAAGGCTCCCCCACATGCCTTTGGGCATCGACAGTGTTTTGGGCGCTGGCATTTACCGTACCAGGCGAACATGGTAAAACCCCTTGCATGCCTCCAGGTATCAACAGTGTGGCAAGCGCCGACGACTTCCATACACGAAGAAGACAACACAACCTCCCACGTGCATCTGACATTCTACAGTATTGTGGGTGCCTACCATCATCCTGTACCCGCCGGCGTGGGCAACAAGGCTCAGTAGCATACATACTCTCTCCCTCTCACTTGTAAGGCCATCCTATTCATCTATAAAAGGGGATGCGCTCTCTCCCAACAAGTAGATTCATTCGATCGATCAGTTCACTAGTCCACAACAATAGAACCTCCAGGTTCAAACCACGAGCACACGCTCAAACACTTAGCGCATAGCAGGGCTCCTGTCACTCTCGGCTCCTCTGACCAGAGTTCGACCGGACCTCCTGTACCCGCATCTTTCTCCTTCTCGTTTGTAACCCCACTACAAACTTCGAGCACCTGGCCTCAGGAATAAAGTCACCGACCAACTCAAACTGGGCGTAGGGCACGTTGCCTGAACCAGTATAAACCCTGTGTCATTGAGTGCTAGGCCACCTCCGATCACAACGTACGGCAAAACTACAAATATTTATGTGTTGGTCACTTTCTGCACCGACACATGGTGACTGTCGTCTCCCCGTATGCTACCTTTGGACAGGAATTAAGTCGGTTCGGGGTTAGCCGCAACGACGCTACGTTCAATACTCCAATGATTTTGATGTTTTAACTCCGAATCAGGTTCGCTGTAGCACCGAGGCTTCCTTTCATTTTGTTCATAAAGTATCAACACGGCCATGTACTAATAACACAAGTTATAGGTTGAATGGGATCCATATGACAGGAAAGATGTACGGGAGTTGAACACGGCCCCATATGTTGAGGCTGAGAAGGTGCTGTGGCAATCCAATGTAGCGATGATCTTCTACTATGTGGTCGAGCACTACTTGCCACAAAGAGTGATGAAGCAGTTTGGTAGGTATCAAAATTTCCCTCTACAGCATGAGTCGACAACCTGTCAGTTGCATGAGTAAGCTGGACTTTGCATGTATCATGACTCACCATTGCATGCATTGTACAAGGCCTCAAAATGTAACATGTGTCATCCTTGCAGGATTTCGAGGAGGAAAAGGTTCAACGGCAATGACTGGTTTTGAAGCATCAAAAGTACATGCAAGAGTGGGAAGCTAGAGAGAGGGTGGAACCGGATAATGGGGCTCACTGTGTGACCAATGACTACCATGCATACCTGGCGTGGTTTCACAGGTCCACAAGAATCAGTGTGCATCCACCATTGTCCAGCATTCCAATAGATGAAGAAGGGAGCAACGATGACGACCCCTATGATGTCATGACAAGGAGGAGCGTGCAGCCAGAGAGAGCACCACATAAGAACTACATGGTAAGCATTTCATTTGAACTATGCCTTGACGTAGCTTCACTTGAAAAGTACGTGGTAATGATGATTATGAATGTACTCTAGGCAAATCAGCTAGCTCACCTTTCTAATGAGGCTAGAGTTTACCTTAGATGTGCAGGAGGGATCGAGAATTCATACCTTGAAGAATTTGCCAAGGTAATACCCTTATGCCTATGTATTTCAACTATACCTAGAATGATATGTAACCACTTCTCATTTCACATGACCATGGTTGCAGAAGGTGTTGACATCCTATAGATGGATGGCTCGCAAGTTGAGTTGCATCCAAGCCAAAGATGTACAAGTGCCAACTCCCGCATCCCAAGGACGACAAACCCATACAAGCCAAAGGGCAATGATTAACAAAGTGAAGAGCTCTCATGCAAGATGTAGGAATGATGAAGACGACGATGATGGAGATGATGATGAAATCAATGATCCAACGTATGAGAAAGATGAGCTGATGGGTTCCCAACTTGCTGATACTCCTTAGGGTACACAAACTTAGGTGCGTGTGTCATTACCAAGTAGTACATGAGGCTGTTATAAGGGTGTGGATTCAACAGTTCAACTATGCCCTTGAAATAAAGTTGGTCATGTGGTTGTTTATCTGTTAGTAGTATGTTAAGCTGCTAGAAGTATGTTAAGCAGTACAAATGGTAATCCACTTGGTCATAAAGTGCTTATTGTGTAATCTTACACTAACCCATGAGTGTTCATGATAGTGGATGGCCAACATCATTGGTATTTTGTGAAATGACCACCACTTTACTATTTCCTCATGTTACTTGTTTGACATGTATGTTGTATATGTTTTGTGTAGAGTTCGTCCCAACACCCATGATGAGGTGAAGGACGAAATGTGCGAGGACGTGCCCATGACCACTCCGATGTCGGCACTCCTAATCTCTAATCGACACATCTAGGCCACCTGTGTCATCCTCGAGAGCCCTTCATGCCTACCTAATTCATCTCAAGCATGCTTTGTGAACTATGTCCTTTTTTTTGCCTATGTTCGTCATGGAACAGCTATGTTGACTATGTGCTCATTTGGACTTTGTCGATGACTTGTGAACTAGACTTTGTCAATGGCCTCTAAACTATGTGAACTATGTGGACTTTGTGAACTATCGTCGTGTATGAACTATGTGGACTTGATGTTATATGCTATGTTGTTCATTTGTGAACTTGTCACCCATGTTGCGCATCCATGAACTGTTATATGCTATGTATATGTCTCAATTGTACTTATGTGTTAACAAGTGTGGAAGAAATGGAAAATTTTTGTTCCCAGGCCTGTCGTGCCAGCAAGGGTGGCATGATAGCCATCACGGAATATTGTGCAAATGACTGTCGCCCTCAGCCAAAGAGGTGGGACAAGGCTGTAGCGCCGAGTCAATGGCGCGACAAGCCTATCGTGCCACCCATGCCGGTGTGACAAGGACTCATAGGCCAGGCCAGACCTCTCTAGTGTCGATGGTTGACTGGCGCGATAGTATCACGCCAGCGTAGGCGACGACGATATCATCACCAACGACGCCAGTCATGCTAGCGCGACACTATCATGCCACCAACGCTGGTGTGATACTGTCACGTTAGCCAGCCATCGACACCAAAGACGTCTGGCCTGGCCTGGTGAGACCTTGTCGCACCGGCTTGGGTGGCACGACAGGCTTGTCTCGCCTTCAACTCTGGTGCGACAGCCTTGTCCCGCCTCTTTGGCTGGCGTGACAGTCCTAGAAATCGGTTAGCTTCGGCCATTACCTCCAAGTGTCTAGCTTGCATGATTTTTTTGAAACATGCATCCTTAAAATTGAATTTTTCTTCATGTTTTTCTTCTAAACACAAAATTTCTTGGCCATTTCCTCCAAGTGAGGCTATTTTTAGTGAAACCATTTCCTAAGTACCATTTCATAACTTATTGACATTGAATTTTCTTCATGGTGTTTTCCAAACACAAAATTTCTTGGCCATTTCCTCCAAGTGATGTTATTTTTGTAAAACCATTTCCTAAGTCCACCATTTCATAACTTATTGACATTGTATTTTCTTCATGGTTTCAAAACATTGTTCGCATTACACACCATAATGAGTCATATCATAACGAGTTTGAAGCATTACACATGATAAGGAGTTTGAAGCATTGTTCAAAGGTAGTCATCATCATGATCACTTACATAAGTGTTTCATCTAGCATATACAAGCACTACTACTAACACTAGTCTTCCATCTACCATGAACAAGTACTACCAAATGGCAACCCCAGGCCATTTGCAAAAATATGTATGGACAAAAGAAGCAGCGCTATCGTACCAGTCCTCCATCTATCATATACAAGACCTACGTAATGCCAAAAGTATTGGCATTTGCAAAATATGTACTGCACCATGTAGGCATCAGTTGAGAGGAAACACTACTCATCATCCTCATCATCATCATCGTCATCATCGTCGTCATGTTGTCATGGTCATGGCCATGGTCATCGTCATCGTCATCGTCCTCCTCCAAGGGTGCGGGGATATGCCCATCGTTCGGTGCATCATCGGGGACTACAAGAACAAAACAATGTCTCATTGGTAACAATTGTAAGAAGATGCACAAGTCAAAACATATTTTGAAATCAATTACTCACATAAGCGACGCAAATGCCTTTGGAAAAAGGCCATATCCCTCTTATCCTCGGCCTACTTAAAGTTGTAGACCTCCTTGTTTTGTCGCTAGAAGCTCATCAACTCAACCTCGTTATTGTAAAAACTCAGCTGTCGACCGGTCACTCGAGGAAAGTCCTCTAAAATCCTGTTATGGGTCTTCCATGATGGCATCTCTACCCTGTACCTATCCTCACCTCCATCTGCTTCTCCTCCCGCATCCAACGCTTGCTCTCTTTTTCGAGTGGCGAATGTATCTTCAGCCTCTCCACTAACTCTCCACGACCAGTGAAGTCCTTCCAATTGCATGTCCTCCCCACCTAAGCAAACACAAAGCAATGAGCATACAAACCGGTGGCCTATGTTCATGTAGTAACTTCACCAGTTCAGTCAACTCACCCATAACTCAGACGGCCCTCCATAAGCATTGCCATAATAGTATCTGTATTCTAACTCAGACGAAACAACTCCTTCGTGAGCCTTGATGCCACACTTGCACTTACAGTCCGGCATCTTTGTGCATGGCCATGGCTTAATGCCTGCTTGAAACTCCACAAATTCATACTCTGAAGGCCAGTGTGATTTGGGTCCATAGTTGTACTCCTCAAAGTCACAAGATGGGAACCCTCTATGCAGAAAACAATGCTCCAAGTGTAACATTGTAGGTGCAAAACGCATAAAAGCTTAGAGACAGATTGCTTTCATGAGAACTTATATAATCTGGCAATCCACAACGATAGAAGGTAGTGAATGCTCTACGTTGGCTGGGAGTAGTTAATTGCGCCAACACTCCACAATGGCATCTAGGAGGATTGGCTAGACGACACAAAGCAGCGTCAACCTTCTCCGTCTCTATCATTTCTGGAGGGTTCGGTGGCGGCGGAACCCAACGAACATATTCTGCATATGGAACACTCTTCCAGGGGTCATAAGAAAACAACATAATCAACGGCTCAAACATTTTATCGCCATCGATCCACTGATAGAAGATGCATCCCTTTAGGTAGGCATCAAGTGTCGGGAGACATCACTTAAGTTGGCAACAGTAGAAAGCACACCCAGTTGACATGGGATGCCTTGACTGCTTCACAAATGCCGGTAACCCATAGTAACACATCGATGTTGACTCTGCTAGTAGGAAAGGACCGATAGCATCATGATCCTTCGGATGGTGCACGAATTGGTTGTCATTTGGAACCACCGTTGAACCTATTACAAAGTAGTTCAACAAAGCAAAGATATGAACCAATACTATTACACAGTTCAACAACAATTTCCATCTCAATCATCTCTATAATCATGTAAACCCATGAAGCCAAACCCTAAAACAAACCTATTGAATATAAATGATGTCTATACACACATAGTCCAACTCATCTATACATCTAATCAACACAAAAATACTTGAAATCACACACTTCCAAGAAGGTTTATTAACAACACTCCAACCTATACTGTTGTCGAAACCAGTGCAGTCAAACCCTAATGCAGTGCCAACCAAAACCAATCAGAAAAATCATACAAGTTCAACAAGTACATCATGAACCATAATATATTAAACGTGATTAGCCAAAGAACTTTCATTAAACCAAACGAAAGCCAATATTGCTCACGTACTTCACCGCCTGTATAACCAGCCCACATCTACATACATGCACTTATAGTAAACTTAACGGTGACGGGCAAAATTGATTAACGGAGGTGGGCGAACCATTCATCTCCGATCAAAGGTCATGGTTAATCCAGACCTACGGAGACAGTTGGTTAGCCCGCCATGGTTAATAGATTAACCGAAGCGGTCGCCCTAATGATTTTCTAGATTAAAAAAATACTTTTTCAACTTTAAATTTGAATTCTATTTTCACAAATTAAATACAGACAATGTAGAAGATACGCATATAGAGGACAAACATATATTACATTCATTCGTGTGTCGTCATTATCGTACCATGAACCAACATTAAGTTATTACATTACATGCATGTCTTCCTTATCGTACCACAAACATATATCACATTCATACATGTGAAACTAAGATCACCGCTTATTTACCAGCCTGCCCGCCTCAGAGCTCCAAAGGCAAACGTGTCTTGGAAAAGTTTTTGTGTAGTAGTGATGGACGAAGACGGCGAGAAATGAGGCCCACACATGACTAGCGAATCAACAGGCTTGAAGATCAAGGTATTCCGAGGATATTAGATGCTATCGTATCTAGGCGATAGGTTAGAATCATTCGGTTATGCATTTCATACAACAAACTAGGAAACACATCTGTTAGCAGATTGGTTCTACTGTAACTCTACCCCCGGACTATATACGGAGGGGTCAGGGCCTTCCGATTGGGATCCTATCTTCTACATTATATCGCATAGCTACGATTAGCAACCCCTATTACCGAGCATACGAATATAGACAGAGCTACTTCAGACTGGACTGTAGAACTATTTTCGAGAGCGTGTCCTTGTGACATGTATTTCATTAAGCAGAAGAAGAGTTTGATTGGTTACAACATCCCAAATAATTCATAGATTACCGTGGAAGGATGAAAGCCAACGCGATCCAAAGTAAACCTAATTAACAACGACCGAAGGACTATCATTGTCGATCTCCAATTCGGTGATACGCCACCCTGCACTGCACATGCAACGTATGGTGCTAGTACGATCTAGCACTTTGCACATGGTATGTACGCCCTGTTTGGATTCATAGGGCTAAAGTTTAGCACACCTCTTTTAGTCATCTTTTAGCCCTCATGGATCCAAACAAAAAGGGCTAAAAGTGGGAGTTAAACTTTAGCCCATCTATTTTCCATTAGCTCCTGCAAGCTAGGTCAAAAAGGGCTAAAAGTAGTCCCCTCAATACCAAAAGACGCATATTACCCCCAATATCTCTATGCATGGCTGTCCATGAGTATTAATTAGGAACAAAGCCCGTTTGGCTTACCTTAAAAGATGGCTTATTTAGCTTTTTTTTCAGTCGGAACAATATTTTTCTCTCACAACAATTCAATTTTAATTTATTTTTTCAGCCAAACGAACGGACCAAAAGGGTCATGATAGGTACATAACTAATCTTTAGCTTCCGGATCCGAATAGTCCCGTAACCTAAACTTTGGCCCCTTTATCTAAGAGCTGATCTATAGCCTTCGCTAAACTTTAGCGCACGGATCAAATGGGACCGCAGTACTTGCGAGAGAGACACCATCGCTACCTCCGTAAAATGAACAAGGGTTAGCTAGCTAGCTAGAAGTGACAGCTGGCTGCACGCCTGCACAGTACACACCCCGTCTTCGCAGAAAGGTCCTCATATCTGTTCGGTCATGTCATCTCTGATTCTAAATTTGCGAATTATCTATTTAAATCTTCGAACTTGTTCATTTGAACGATAGTCTCTCGTGCCAAAATATATGTCGTTTTCGTTTTGTAATAAACAACTTTAATAAAATATATATTAAAAAATATTAATATTTATGGTACATAATTAGTATTATTGAAAAGATCTTTAAATCTAGTTTTTTTAATAAATTTACTTGAAAATACAAATGTTGTACGTATTTTCTATAAATTGAGTTAAACTGCAGTACGAAAACCAAAAGCGACAGATATTCTGGGACGGAGAGAGTATTATTTTCTATAAAGACAATCAGAGTTTAAATTTAAGATAGCTGATGAAGTCACCGGTAAACGATTGATCTGATCGATGAAACCAAACCATGCAGGCATCGCTCATGTTGGCTTAGCTGAAAAGAATATAAAAATTACTTTTGGCTGATTTACGATGAGAGTAGAATATTACAATAATTCCTTCACCTGTCCGTAAGACTAGACTAGCCCTGACAGTCTACTCTGATCCTTATCTGCACGCCTGCACACTCTCCGCCGCAGAGGTCTGTCCGGCCGGCCCCTAGCCTGGCGCGATGGGTCTGCTAGTTCGGTGAACCCGCCGGCCCGACCACAGGTCAGGTCGTCAGCAAGGAACGACATGCCATGGGGCGCCCATTAACCGCTACCTCCGCAACAGCTAACTGTAGCACTAGCAGCAGCAGCTTCTTCGCGCCATTACTCGCCCCGGCCCCGGCCCTCGCCCCTGCCCCCTCACGTCTTCTCCATCCCGCGCCTATAAATCAGCCGTGCTGCGCCGCGACTCCCCACACCTTAACTTGCTCAGTGCTCAGAGCTCACACTGACTAGCAGCTTCGTTCTCTAACAGTAACAGCACGAGCACGTACGTGGTGGTCTCGATCGATCAACAAGAGCCCCAAAAGCAGCAACACGTACACATCTGAGCTTCAGAACTACTCCTAGCTAGCTAGCTAGCTACGCTAGCATTAATCCCCATGGCGAACCAGCAGCATCGGTCCTCCATCGCCATGGACCGGGAGCTGTTCCGGACGGTGCGGCAGGCGGCGCTGAACCACGCGAGGCTGCTATACCACCGCCTAGTCAGCCGCCTTCCGCACCTCCTCGCCGTCACGTTCCTGGTGGCCGCGGCCCAGCTCGTGCCGATGCCGCCGTCGCCGTCCGCGCCGCTGCCGCCCGTCGGGGCGCTCCTGCGGGAGGCGGCGGCGCGCGCCCGCGCCGACGCGGGCCTCGTGGCCGCGGCGCTGGCTGGGGTGGCGGCGTGCGCGTGCGTGTGCGCGTACGCGTACGCCGCGTCGCGCCCGCGGCCCGTGTACCTGGTGGACCTGGCCGCGTACCGCCCCGGCCCCGCGCACCGGGCCACCCGCGCCGAATCCATCCGCCACTTCGCGCAGGCGGGGCGGTTCACGGACGACAGCGTGGCGTTCCAGACGCGGATGCTGGAGCGCGCGGGCGTCGGGGACGCCACCCACTTCCCGGCCTCCATCCTCGGCGTCCCCGTTGACATGAGCCTCCGCGCCGCCAGGGAGGAGTCCGAGGCCGTCGTCTTCGGCGTCGTTGACGACCTCCTGCGCACCACCGGCGTGCGCGCGGCGGACGTCGGCGTCGTCATCGTCAACTCCAGCCTGTTCAGCCCCACGCCGTCCTTCACGTCGCTGCTCGTCAACCGCTACGGCCTCCGGCACGACGTCGTCACCCACAACCTCAGCGGCATGGGGTGCAGCGCAGGCATCATCGCCATTGACCTCGCCAAACACCTGCTTCAGGTACCTACCTAGTAGTAGTAGCTACAGTACATAATGGCCCGTTCGCTCCGATAGAAAAACGCTGTCAGGTTAAAAAAAATAAGCTTTAAAAAGACGGATTATAAGAGAGACGAACAGGGCTCCTGACTGACCTGACCTCTGGAACGTGTCGCTTAGCATGGGGATTAATAAGTACTAAATGCATGAGAGGAATGCCATTGGTCGAGCATTTGACATGCTTGCCACCAATTAAGATGAACACCACCATCACCATGCATGACGGTATTATTTATCACAATAATCCTCAAGTTGGTAGAAATACATGCATGCATGTCCCAGCCAGTACACCATCAAGGTCCCTTGCTCGGTCTTTTAAATTTCTGCCAAAACTATTTAGCTACACAGATTGAGCATGTTTATTGCTAGTGACCGAGCGTCCGATATATATATATATATATATATATATATATATATATATATATATATATATATATATATATATATATATATATATATCTGTGTGTGTGTGTGTGTCAGCTGTCACACACAATGGATCATTATTTGGAGTAACATAGATATAGTTCATAGCTAGTGATCGGATAGCTCGACTGAAGGCCGATCGTGGCATTTACTGCAGCAGGCCGGTGACAGATTTGGTTTTATTGCGACTGTTTGTTTACATATAATACTAGGGCTATGTTGGAGTAACAAGTAACAGGCTAATATCCTAGTGTCAAGTTATGAGCACATGAGCAAATTACTGTAAAAGCTATGGCCGACACCATATATAGGCCATTCTTTGGGAGGGCCTACAGTCTTTGGCAACCTCTGGCCTCAACCAGCACTTGTCATTTGCATCATGCATGCTCTTAAAATGTCAATATACTTTCAGGCCAGCCTTTGATTTTCCATTAGACGATTACCTGCTGTACAAATGTCCATTCTAAAAGGCAGAGAGATGCTTTAGTCTTGGGGATATCAAGTCGATCGATCTTTCTCTAATTTTAACCAAGTTTATAGGAATTAGGAAGATGTTTCTTTAACTTCAACCATGCTTTATAGTAATTAGGAAGATGCCCCAAACGTCTCTAGCTCCTCCTTCCTACGGTGCATAAAAGAACCAAGGTTGGTGAAGCCTAAAATAGCAGAGCCCCACAAGATTCTAAGTTCCGCCTTGTTTAGTTGGATCCCAAAGTCCAAAAAAAGTTTTGCTACAGTCATTTGCATGGATACAGTCATATCGAATGTTTGTGGTCGATATAGATCGTGGTATGCCGGAGATATATTAAATGTAACCTGCTTGTACAAATGTCCATTCTAAAATGACGACAAAAAAAAAACTAATTTCATCATTAACAGTTTGGTGGAAATTTGATGGCGAGATTTCGTTTTAAGCTGTAATTAGTCAATGTTTGGACACTATTTGCCAAATAAAAACGAATGTGCTACAGTAGCTCCAAATTCTAAATTTCGCGAACTAAACAAGGGCTTCATTTTGAAAGGAGGGGTAAAAAAAAATAACTCTTTGGTACAGTGAGCTGGCTAGAGCTCCACCAAACAGGGGGCCTTAGTTTAATTGGATCAGGATCCACCAAAAAAATTGTCTTCATAGTACATTTGTTTTGGTACAGTAGACGATGTTGACATATTTCTCGGTGGATACAGTCAAAGCAAGCCGGAGAAGTTTGACATAAAGGAAAAAGGTTACTAGAGTCGACATAGATCGATCGAGGTATAGCCGGAGATATATTTTACATTTTTACTACAACCATTGTGCCAACCAACCGTACTAATAATGACGACGACAACAACAACAAACAAAAAGGATATAAAAAAGCTTATTCATTTCATCATTAACTTTGTTATTATTATATGTGGTGAAGGCGGGTGTACGTGTTAAGGTAGATACGTGCATTGATGGCGCTAACATGCATGGCAAGAAGGCCCAAGGACATACTACATTATACCTGTCCGGAACCTTCCGTAGACATACGTACTGACGCGTCTGGTGGCTTAAAAATAAGCCCGTGTTTAGTTCCCAACCAAATTCTCAAAAAATACTACCCATCACATCGAATCTTGCGATACGTGCATGAAGCGTTAAATGTAGACGAAAAAAACTAATCACACAGTTTGGTTGGAAATTGCGAGACGAACGTTTTGAGCCTAATTAGTTCATGATTGAACACTAATTACCAAATAAAAACGAAAGTGCTACAGTAGCTAAATTTCTAAATTTCAGCCAACTAAACACGCGCTAAAGCAAACCTAATCATCCAAAGCGAGATGCACAGGAGGACCATCCGACCATGCGTGTGTTCCATCCACAGATGAACAAGCGACTAGGAGGACCATGCATGGCCATGGCCATGGCCTGGCCCCACAGGAAACCCAGGAGGCCGTCCGTGCGATCGGGTGGACCGACGGCAGGGAGGAGGGCCTGGGAAGTGAAGTTGAGTTGAGAGCCCCTCTCTGCAGCATGGGCCAGCTTAACGCCCAGCAGACGCATGCTCCACTGCGCTGTCCATTCCAATTGTCAGCCGTCCCAGTGCAGTGTTTGGGTTGCGTCCAGCTCCAGCAGGGACCAGGGTCACCGGGCAAAGGCACCTGATGGACGCGGCTCCCCGTCCTCCCGCCCCCACTCTAATCTAACCCCAGGCGTAGTAATTGTGGTTGGGTGGCAGTTAGTTAGGGTAGGCACGCGGTGTGTCGCCGGCCTGCGCTCCGTGCACCGTGCTCGATCGCCATCCAATCACTTCCGCTGCGCTGCAGCCTTGCCTGCCTGCGACCCTGCTTCCAAAACAGCAACTGCAATGCAAATGATCGATGTCGTTGTTGCCTTTCAGGTGCACCCGGACACGTACGCGCTGGTGGTGAGCACGGAGAACATCACGCTCAACGCCTACCTGGGCAACCACCGCCCGATGCTGGTGACCAACACGCTGTTCCGGATGGGCGGCGCCGCCGTGCTGCTCTCCAACCGCGCCGCCGACCGCGGTCGGGCCAAGTACCGGCTGGTGCACACGGTGCGGACGCACCGGGGCGGCGCCAGCGACGAGAGCTACGCGTGCGTCACGCAGGAGGAGGACGGCGAGGGCAACGTCGGGGTCTCGCTCTCCAAGAACCTCATGTCCGTGGCGGGGGACGCGCTGCGCTCCAACATCACCACGCTGGGCCCGCTGGTCCTCCCCCTCTCGGAGCAGCTCCGGTTCCTGGCCGCCGCGCTGCTCCGCCGCGTCGCCGGCGGGAAGGCGAAGGTGAAGCCCTACGTGCCGGACTTCAAGCTGGCGCTGGAGCACTTCTGCATCCACGCGGGCGGGCGCGGCGTGCTGGACGAGCTGGAGCGCAGCCTGGGGCTCAGCGCCTGGCACATGGAGCCGTCCCGGATGACGCTCTACCGCTTCGGCAACACCTCCAGCAGCTCGCTCTGGTACGAGCTCGCCTACTGCGAGGCCAAGGGCCGGATCAAGAAGGGGGACCGCGTCTGGCAGATCGCCTTCGGCTCAGGGTTCAAGTGCAACAGTGCCGTCTGGAAGGCGCTCCGGACGGTGGACGACGCCGGCCGGGAGACCAATAACCCCTGGGCCGACGACATCCACGACCTGCCGGTGCACGTGCCCAAGGTGTCGCCCTTCGCTTCTTCCGACCAGCAGGCAGCGTCCACCAACGGGCAGCATGCCTAGCCAACGTTGCTCGTGATAGCTGCTACGCCAATCTTGCTTCTGCATTTTTATTATGCTACATATGCCTGTTGACTGTTGAGTGTGTTGGCGGATGGAAATCAGGGATGTGCCATCCTACGCAGAACATATTGGAAGGAATGATGGGCAGAGCAATCCGACTTTGTACATACGAACAGTAGAACGCAATAGAGAACAAGCTGCATATGAAACTAGCCAAATGATACGCCATGTATCTGCAACACACCCTTCGTTTATCGGCAACCGGCATTGCCATAATGCCACTGGAATCATTGCACGCTGCAAAGAGAAGAGGTCGTCTTATCTGGACGTGGTTCAATTAGTGGAGCAGCGTGTTATGAGGAACCGCCAAGCATATCTGACAAAGTAAAGAGGATCTCACTGTGACATAGGTTAGGTTAGAGTAAAATACCATCAGACATTCAATAGACAGTGTCTCACGATCGGGCATGTGTGCCCTGAAGAATAAATTGTAGTGAAAGAAAGAAAGGGGACATTGGGAGGATCTTTCAGCACTGAATTGCGTGTATATAGATAGAGACGCCTAGCAAAAAGATATTTGAAGGCTTCAGAAATTAGATATGATAGTGTTGATTGATTTAACATCCATAACTTAAACTCATGACCGATATTCCTCTAGGGAGGGCCAATACTAAGCTGTAAAACAATTTCGACTTCCTGGAGCGCCTCAAGGGCGTGCTGTAAACGAACAATTCTCTCTTATAATAAAAAAAAAACGTACAAATCTTTTGCGTGATCGAAAAAAAACTAATGACCGATATTCATATATAGATTATATAAATAGCATGCGTCTAGTTAATGTACAGAATCCGATTTCTAAATAAAAATATGTACTCCCTGTTCTAGAAAAAAACTATTGTTTTAGAATGAATCTAGATTTTTTTTTTTTGGACGGATGGAGTATATATGTGTAGGTATCTTTGCAACTTGCAACCAGCTAGTCCGCAACCCAGGCCAGCCAACCCCGACCTTTCCGCTGAGCCTGGTAAGCGGGCTGCTCCAGCAGTCCAGCTCGACTCCTCGGTTGCTTGATGCGCCGCTCTGCTGGGCTCCTAGTGGGCTTCCATTATGGGCCTATTTGTCAAGAAGTGACAACGAGCCCAGCTTGTTTTTATCAAGCCTTTACCATCGTGAGCCCACGAGGCACGAGAAACCTGCTTGTTTATCTTCCTCCTCACCCAGCACCGAAAACTTCTCTCCCCAGCAATGGCGGGCTGGCCGCTGCCGCAGCCCTTGGCGTACTAGCCTAGCCTACTAGGGGGAAGGGCTCCTTTGTTGCCTTCGGCCGACGCGCGGTGTTTGCTCCACGCCTGCTCCTGCTCCCCTCCTACCCCGTCCCGCAGAATGGAGCAAGTTGCTTCTTTGGTTCGAATGATGGAGGAATTCCAGTGCTTTCCTGACACCAGGACTTACAATATACTGATCTCACTGTACAGAGAAAAGAACGATATTGATATTGCAGAGTACTACTACTGGAAGATGAAAGCAGAAAACTTGGTACCAGATGTTGTGACCTGCCGCACGCTCTTATATGGATACTCTATCAGGGGCATGGTCACTAAAGCGGAATCCCTTCTAAAGGAAATGGATGAGAGGGGCTTTGTGGTAGATGAATACACACAATCAGCTTTGACAAGGATGTATGTAAATGTTGGGATGCTTGAGCAAGCTTGGCGTTGGTTTGACAGGTTCCATCACCATATGAATTCTGAATGCTTTTCTGCAAATATTGATGCATTTGGAGAGAAAGGATACATAGTTCTTGCAGAGAAGGCTTTTATATGTTGTCTAAAGAAGAAGATGCTCAGTGTTTCTGCGTGCAATGTTATGATCAAAGCATATGGGTTGGTAGAGAAGCTTGATGAGGCATGTGAGATAGCTGATGGTATGGAGAGGTATGGCATTTTGCCTGATTACGTGACATACGCTTCTCTCATTCAACTTCTGTCAACTGCTAAACTGCCAAAGAAAGCTATTTACTACTTGGAAAAAATGAAAGTTGTGAAATTGCTGCCAGACTGTATCCCATAGTCTGTGGTAATTAGTAGCTTTGCTAAGAATGGTGATCTACGAATGGCTGAATACCTATTTAGAGAAATGATCATGTCAGGGGTCCATCCTGATGTTTTTGTCTACTCTATCTTAATTGATGCGTACGCTGAAGTTGGAAATGTTCAACAAGCTTCAGCATATTTTGGTTTAATGAAAAAGGATGGTTTATATGAGAACGTTACGATCTACAATTCTTTGATAAAGCTCTACACAAAAGTAGGGTATGTGGCAGAGGCCCGAGAAACATATGAGTTACTCAAATCATTGGATACCAATGCCATCCTTTGTGCATCTAATTGCATGATTGATCTCTATAGTGATCATTGTATGGTGAAGAAAGCATGTGAGGTTTTTGAAGGTTTGAAGGTTAGGGGAATTGCCAATGAATTCTGACAGCAATGATGGTGTGTATGTACAAGAAAGTTGGTCGCTATGATGTGGCTCACAGGATTTGCAAGGAAATGCAAGCTTTAGGATTTCTAACTCAGTTACTAAGCTACAATTCTGTAATCCAAATGTATGTATCTGGTGGAAGAATGGAGGAGGCTCTTAATCAATAAGATGTTGGCATCGAACACACCACCAAATGATGCAACATTCCAGGCACTAAAGGTTGTTCTAGTAAGAAGTGGAGTCACAAAGAATGAAACAAGAAAGTTAGACTTGTTAAGAAGAAATAGCACTCATGATTGCTTGCGTCAGTGGTACAGGGCACTATCTTCAGCTGTAAGATCAAGTGCAAATTCTTTTCAAACATAGTATTATTGGTCAATCTGCTACAAGGACACATCCTTTTGACATTAACAATTATAGGAGTCGAAAAGGGTGTACAAGAAAGCAAGTAACTTCCGAACTGATTTCAAATGGTTGAAATCTTAGATGTAGATACACTTTAGTGACGATCCATCTACTGAACTGTACACAGAATGGGGTGAACCATCTTTGAGAAAAAGAATGTTGATAGTTGATTGACTGATGCACGATGAATTCGTAGGAATCATTTTCACACGGGTGTGGATCCTGCTGAAATCTTCTGCAGGTGAGTTTTGTTACTTTTTTGGTTCTCTGGGTCTACATACCAGAATATAAGGTATATGCTTTCGCAACCCATGCTTTTACTAAAAATTGAACTGCCTTATCTGACCTCAAACAAAAGATTCAGTACTGATGATAATGTCCAACTTTGCAGTGTCTTTATATGTTCTGCCTGTTGTGACTTCATTTAATTTTTGCATTACATCTTACTTGGCAACATAAATTTTCTATGATGGCACCCCACCTTTCTGCAGTGTCTTATTCTGTTATTGACAATTTGGTCCTGAAAAATATGCAGTACGGAATTGCTAAACATTAGTTGGCTTATTAACTTTGTCATTTCAGTCGATTTTGTGTCCTAACGACCTATTCCATGATTTTCACTGTTGTTCTCCCCATGCACTCATTTCTCCCTCAGTCTTTATTTTTTGTTGTTGGGCTGATTTTTCCATCGGTTTGTTTGTTTGTGGGCCTTTTGTTCTTTTTCTTTCAGTTCAGGTCGTTGTCTTTTTCCTCTTTTTTCAGCATTTTGCTGGCATTTCTGCCATGGCCCGTGGGTGATCTGGTTTGGGAAGGCCAGGAAGCACCCAAACTCTCTTTTGAGCACTGCCCTTTCAGTGTATTTTTTCCTCTTGAGATATTTGTTTGCCTTTTCAGGAAATATGTTCTGTATATTTGCTTTTCAAGCACAGTGGTAATGTGGTATTCTTAGAGATACCATGGTTATTTGGTTTCAGATGTGGTATTTTCATTTCATGGGTGTTGAGTTTGTATTGGAGTACTTTGTTAAGTTCCATGCCTTTGTAAATAGTGCTCTTATGTCATGGCTAACCAGTAGGAGAATCATGCTGGTTGTAAGTGTGTTTCTATTATTCAGGATTCTATATAGTTATTAGTTACCTCGTAGGAGTTATAATCTTTTCACTATTGCTTCCTCTTTGAACATTTTAGACGACATGCTTTTGATATTGATGTCTTATTCAGTCTGGTTCTTGCAAATAGTTACCAAAACAAATAACCACAGAATTAGATAGTACTCCCTCTGTTTTTAATATATGATCTAAATGTCATATATTTGAACGGAGGTAGTATGTTGAAGACAGGAATTGTGTCTTTTCTCTAATTGGTAAAAGTAATTGATGGACGTAGAAAAACAAATCTAATTTCTTTTTTTGTTATAATTTTTCCTGCTATGTAAGATTATTGTGCTCATACTATAGATGACCAATGGGCCGGTCTGGGCCGGGCCGGCACGGGCCCGTGAAAGCACGGCCCGATAGGGGTCGGGCCAGCACGGCACGCCGGGCCTCCCGGGCCGTGCCTCACAGGGCCACGGGTCTGGCCTTCGGCCCAGGCATGGCACTATGGGCCGTTTTCCATGCCGGGCCTGCCCGAGAAGCACGGCCATTTTCACAGGTCGTGCCACCCGAGGCCCACTGAGCGGCCGCGTGGGGAGGCGAGGAGGAGGTGGCCGCGCGGGGCTGGGAGCGGTGTAGCTCCGGATCTCGGGGGCAGGAGCTGCGCAGCCGATGCCCTCCCTCAAGCGATGGAGAGGAGGAGATGAAGAGGGGGTGAGCGAGATGGAGAGGAGAGAAAACAAGGAAGGGAGGGAGTCGCCGGATCTGCCCGCGCGTGCGCTCCTAGCCGTGCGCCGCCGAGGGAGAGTGAGGGAGGGAGGGAGGCAGGGACGGGGAGGAGGCGCTGCGCCAGCGTCGAGGCAAGGGTGGGGAGCCGGATCCGCGGTGGAGAAGACCCAGCGTGGCCAGATCCACGGCGGAGATCCAGCACCGCCGCGGAAGCGAGAGATGGTGAGGAGGACGACGAGATCGAGGAAGGAGGCAGCGCGAGGCCGGAGATGGCAGTGGCCGCCGCCC